TTTATTTATTTTTTTCTGAGACAGTCTCTCACTCTATCACGCAGGCTGGAGTACAGTGGCATGATCTTGGCTCACTGCAACCTCTGCCTCCCAGGTTCAAGCAATTCTCCTGCCTCAGCCTCCAGTGTAGTTGGGACTACCAGTGCCCACCACCATGCCTAACTAATTTTTGTATTTTTACTAGAGTCAGGGTTTCACCATGTTGGCTAGGCCGGTCTCAAACTCCTGATCTCAGGTGATCTGCCTACCCTGGCCTCCCAAAGTGCTGGGATTACAGGGGTGAGCCATAGCACCTGACTAGGAACTATATTTTGAGACTCTAAGAAATAATTATATTTTTGAGAAATTTACCCATCACTGCTTCTCTGTGTTCCAGCAAAAGGCCTACATAGATAAGTTACAGAAGAAAGGACAATATTCTGCATTGTGCTTCTTACAATTTAGCTGTAGTAAAGACTTGTGATCTCTTATACTATTCTTTTTTTTCTTTTCAAACATGTCTTTTTTGTTTTTTGTTTTTTTGAGACAGTCTCGCTTTGTGGCCCAGAATGAAGTGCAGTGGCACCATCTCGGCTTACTGTAACCTCCACCTCCTGGGTTCAAGTGATTATCCTGCCTCAGCCTTATGAGTAGCTAGGATTACAGGCGTGTGCAACCACACCCAGCTAATTTTTATATTTTTGGTAGAGATGGGGTTTCATCATGTTGGCCAGGCTTTCTTGAACTCCCAATCTCAAGTGATCCTCCCGCCATGGCCTCCCAAAGTGCTGGGATTACAGGTGTAAGCCACCATGCCTGGCCATCAAACATGTGTCTTTATTTAGTAAATATTTATCAGTACCTACATGTCACGCATAGTGTAGATATCAGGAATAAATGAGCAAGAAGATACCTTCTGAGGAGCTATCATTCTACTTGGGGGAAGAGAGAAAAACACGTAAACTAGTATGTTATTTCATATATAGCGACATTATAAAAACTGAAGACAACCCTGTGATGACAGGGTGGGGTAGGGGCTGAACAGGAGGAAGGCAGAGCAAACAATTTAGATAGGGTGGTCAGGAAAGTCCAGTCTCAGTTGACACCATTTTAGATGGTGTCAGAATAATAAAAAAGAGCCCGTCATGGGAAAAGCCAAAGGAAGCATTTTCTACGCCAAAGAACAACTGCAAAATTCCAGAGGCAGAAACACACCTGGTATGTTCTAGGAACAGTAACCATTATTACCTACAGAAATATTCCTCACTAAGGTGATTACATTCTAACTTCTAACCACAGCACTGCCTTCCCTTATATGATGTCTCAATGTAGCAATACTGGACTAGTCCTTGATAATATCAAGATTCTCTTTAAAACTGAGTGGGAAATATGCATTAAGATAAGTACAATTCATGAAAATCACCACACATGGCACACATTGTCCAGGATATCCTAGGAGCCCTTAAAAATGGAGTGGGGCTCTCTGGCTGAATATCCTTTTACCATCCCATTTACCAATACAATTGCACAGCAATTCCTGTTGCCCACAACAGCCCAGAGGGAATCATAAGCAGGGGTTCTCTCTGCCTTCCAAAAGCCCATCCATCACAAGTTACAGCTGCACACTTACTCCTTCAGTCATTGTGCCTTGATTGTCTTGCCCATCTTCATCATCATCTTCATCATCTGCTTCTCCTTTCTGAACAAACTCATTTCTTGTTCGAAGGTACAAATCCCAGAGTTTGCAAGCAGCTTTATATTCAGGAGAATCTGGCTATATGTTAACAAAAAAAAAATCATTTTAGTAATATATTGGAAATCAGTTGCTACTTTTAAAGCACACTGTTTCCGCAAAGACTAGTATTTTAAGACACAATTTTAAAAATTCTATTACAAATGTTAATATCCTCATGATTAATACTTCTATTTTGAAATTCTTTAATACGCGGTTTGAAGATGTCTGTTCCTGAAGTACAGTGAGTATGACAAACTCTTGACTGAAACCTTCTAGTAAAAACAATGTTGAATGCAATGTTTAAAAAATAAAATAAAACTTTAAAAATGCATCCATGGGATGCCAATAGAAAGTAAAGATGTTCATAGAAGTAAGGAGTAAAAGCAGGAACCCAAATGAAAACGCAGAACACTGAAGTCAAATGTTCACTTTGAAGGCATTTATTTGTGATAAACCCAAGCTTTGGTTTCCAACGCTTCTCTGGGCAGCAAGAAGGAGAGACAAAAGTCAAGCTCTACCAGAAGCTGGGAATCCAAAGGCCACAGCTGCACTGCTAGTGGGAACTCAAATCAGTGTCTGTACTGCCAGGGAACAAGGAGGACTGCCCATCTCAATCTCTACCTATCCAAACTCATGCCTATCTCAAACCATGGCACTGAGAGGAGAGGAGAGGCATGAAATGAATCTCCTCTGAGAACTCTTCATCATAAGTTAGCCTTAACAAAGACAGGCCAGTCACCCTGGACAAGCAGCAAATCATCTCTGGATGAAGCCAACTTCAATTTAATGTTTCAGTGATCTCTAAAGTTAAAGTTACAAGAAATAGGAGCCCATAGTCAAAAGTCATGAGCCACATAAGAATCAAAGAATCACAAGAGAAAGCTAGCAAAAATGACAGTGAAACAAATATATATATATACACATTAGGATTCAAATATTAGATTATCAGAATAATCTGCCATAGAATAAAAAACGGGTGTGTTAAAAACGTTTAAAAATTGGGCATGGTGGCGTACACCTGTTAGCTACTTGGGAGGGTGAGGCAGGAGGATCACTGGAGCTCAATAAGGCTGCAGTGAGCTACAACTGTGCCTGTGAATAGCTAGTGCACTCCAGCCTAGGTGACAGATCAAGACTTTATCTCTTAAAAAAAAAAAAAAGTTTAAAGAAACAATGAGTTTGAAAATATGAGTGAAGTTCTAGAGACTTTAAAAAAGAAGCTACTTCCTATGTATAGAAAAAATAAAATTAAAATGCAAATACTAATTTTGTATGTAACTGATTTAAGAGATTTCACCAAGAAAACAAAGAACTAAAAAAATTATCTAAAAAAGCAACATAGACACAAAAGCAGAAAATATGAAAAATTAAGAGAAATGGAGACCTGTGGGAAGTCTAATATAACATCTAATCAGAGTTTCTACAAGAACAGAGAACAGGGCAAAAGCAAAATGCTAAGACATGGCTAAAAACTTTCCAAAGATGGGCCAGGCACGGAGGCTCACGCCTGTAATCCCAGCACTTTGGGAGGCCAAGACGGGCAGATCGCGAGATCAAGAGATCAAGACCATCCTGGCCAACATGGTGAAACCCTGCCTCTACCAAAAATATAAAAATTAGCTGGGCGTGGTGGCGTGCGCCTGTACTCCCAGATTCAAAGGCTGAGGCAGGAGAATTGCTTGAACCCAGGAGGCAGAGGCTGTAGTGAGCCGAGATCCCGCCACTGCACTCCAGCCTGGCACCTGGCTACAGGGTGAGAGGCAGTGGAGGTTGCGGTGAGCCGAGATCGTGCCACTGCACTCCAGCCTGGCACCTGGCTACAGAGCAAGACTCTGTCTCAAAAAAAAAAAAAAAAAAGAAAAAGAAAAAAAAACTTTCCAAAGACAATGAGAAACACCAATCTAAGATTTATGAAGCACTATTGCTCACAAATTCTATAAATAAAAGGATATCTAAATAATTTATCACAATGAAACTGTAGAATACAAAAGAGAAAAAGATACTAAAGACAGCCAGAAAAGAAACAACAGATAACCTTTAAAAGAACTACAATTATACTGATGACTTCTCAATAGCAAAAAGGAATGAAGAACAAAGAAAGTAGTAGTAATGGTACTGACTCCACAAATCAATAGTATTATTATTATTAATGTTTTTAAAGACAGAATCTCACTGTTGCCCAGGCTGGAGTGCAGTAGCATGATCACAGCACACTGCAGCCTTGAACTCTCGGGCTCAAATGATCCTTCCACCTCAGCCTCTCAAGTAACTGGGACTACTGGTGCACTCCACCACACTCGGCCAATTAAAACCTTTTTTTTCCCGTGTAGAGATGGGGTCCTCGTACATTGCCTAGGCTGGTTAAAGCAATCCTCCTGCCTCAATCTCCCAAAGCGCTGAGATGATAGGCATGAGCCATCACGCCTGGTTCAATTATTTTACAGCATGGGTCCCCAGCCCCCAGGCCACAAACAGCTACCAGTCCATGGTCTGTTAGGAACTGGGCTGCACAGCAGGAGGTGAGCTCAGGCAAGACAGCATTACTACCTGAGCTCCACCTCCGGTCACATCAGCAGTGGCATTAGATTCTCATAAGAGTGTGAACTCTATTTCGAACAGTGCATGCAAGAGATCTAGGTTGTAAGGTCCTCATAAGAAATCTAATGCCCAATGATCTGAGAAGGAAGAGTTTCATTCTGACCCTGCCCCCTACATCCACCGCTGTCCATGGAAAATTGTCTTCTACAAAACCGGTTTCTTGTGCCATAAAGCTTGAGGACCACTGTTCTATGAGATTCAAAAATTGCCATAAAAGAACTAAAGTACACAGCACCAGCATTATAAATAAGAAAAAGAGTGATCAGAGTTGAATTATTCTAAAGTAATTATATACTGTTTGGAGCATTAAGATCCTGATTAGCTTCTGGCTTTGATGAGTTAGTTATGCATAATAAAACTTCTTGGGTAAGAACTAAAAGGTTATCCATAGGTGTTACAATTTCCAAATTTTAGAAGTAATAAGAGAAAAAAGAATTTTTGAATAAACAAAATCAAAAGAAGGCATAAAGAAAAAAATAACAAAATGCATTGAAGAATAAAGATAAATAAACTGAACAAGGTAGTGGGCACCTACAGTCCTATCGACCTGGAGGCTGAGGTGGGAAGATTGCTTGAGTCCAGGAGTTTGAGGCCACCCTGGGCAACTTAGTGAGACTTCATCTCTTAAAAGGATTTAAGGCCAGGCGCGGTGGCTAATGCCTATAATCCTAGCACTTTGGGAGGTTGAGGTGGGTGGATCACCTGAGGTCAGGAGTTTAAGACCAGTCTGGCCAATATGGTGAAGCCCCATCTCTACTAAAATACAAAAATTAGCCAGCATGATGGCGGGTGCCTGTCATCCCAGCTACTTGGGAGGCTGAGGGGGTGAATTGCTTGAACCCGGGAGACGGTGGTTGCAGTGAGCTAAGATCACGCCACTGAACTCCAGCCTGGGCAGCTGAGTAAGACTCCATCTCAAAAAAATATATAAAATAAAATAAATAAGGCCGGGCGTGGTGGCTCAAGCCTGTAATCCCAGCACTTTGGGAGGCCGAGGCGGGTGGATCACGAGGTCAAGAGATCGAGACCATCCTGGTCAACATAGTGAAACCCTGTCTCTACTAAAACTACAAAAAAATTAGCTGGGCATGGTGGCGCATGCCTGTAGTCCCAGCTACTCAGGAGGCTGAGGCAGGAGAATTGCCTGAACCCAGGAGGTGGAGGTTGCGGTGAGCCAAGATGGCGCCATTGCACTCCAGCCTGGGTAACAAGAGCGAAACTCTGTCTCAAAAAAAATAAAATAAAATAAAATAAAATAAATAAAAAGATGAGATGAATAGAAAGTAGAAATTTAGATTTCAGAAATATATCCAAACATAATGATAATTACTAAAACTGTAAAGAGTTGAAATGCCCTAGTTAGAAGATAAAGATTATACACTGGAGTAACAGAAGTTCGCATATATGTTGTTTACAAGACATACCTAAGCACTGAAAGAATATGAATGTATTAAAAGTATAAAAATGAAAAAAACAAACTAGGTGAACACCAAAACAAACTAGTGTAACTACATTAATGTCAGACAAAATAGACCAAAGAAAATACTTTACTAGTAATAAAAAGCGCTATTACATAATACCAAAAAGTTCAATTTACTAGGGCAGTAATTCTAAACTTCTATTTTCCTATTTGCATAATTTCAAAACATATAAGCAGATATTAACAGAATTATAAGGAGAAATAGACACATCCATAATAAGAGTAAGAGATTTTAAAATACTGAATTCAGTAAGTGGATAGTTTCATGCAGGCAAATCAGTAAGGATATTAAAGATTTGGCTGGGCGTGGTGGCTCACGCCTGTAATCCAAGCACTTTGGAGGCCAAGGCGGGTGGATCACCAGAGGTCAGGAGTTCAAGACCAGCCTGACCAATATGGTGAAATCCTGTCTTAAAAAACAAATAAATAAACAAATAAATAAAAGATTTTAAAAGGGCCAGGCATAGTGGCTCACACCTGTAATCTCACCTTTTGGGAGGACAGGGCAGGTGGATCACCTGAGGTCAGGAGTTCAAGATCAAGATCAACCTGGCCAACAGGGTAAAACCCCATTTCTACTAAAAATACAAAAATTAGCCAAGTGTGGAAGCACACACCTGTAGTTCCAGCTACTCCAGAGGTTGAGGCAGGAGAATCACTTGAACCCGGGTGGTGGAGGTTGCAGTGAGCCGAGATCGTGCCACTGCATTCCAGCTTGGGTGACAGAGTGAGACTCTGTCTCCAAAAAAAAAAAGAAAAAAAAAAAGGTTGTTCATAAAATTTCCACGATTAAAAAAAAAATGATTGTAGCAACATAATTAAATAGCAGAGCATGTGATCCAATGAACACAAGCAAAGCATTAGGCTATATAAATGGTACTCTGGTTATGTTCACATAACTCATAGCAGCATAACTCATAATAGCAAAAAGCAGAAACCAAATTTCCATCAACTAGGGAATGGATAAACAAAATGTGGTATATTCATACAATGGAATATGAATCAGCCATAAAATAGAACGAAGTACTGATACACAGTTGCAACATGGATGATGCCTGAAGGCCTTATATTCACTGAAAAAAGCCCATCACAAAAGGCCATACGCTGTATGACTCTATTTATATGCAATGCCTGAACAAGCAAATCCATACAGTAGGAAAGTAAATTAGTGGTTGCCAAAGACTGTCAGGGGGAAAGGGAAGTGCCTGCTAATGGGCATGGTTTTCTTTTATATTCTAGAGTTATATAGTAGTGACAGTTGCAAAATTTTTAAATAACTAAAAACCCCTTAATTCTACATTTTAAGATGGTATATAAATTATCTCAATTTTAAAATACAAATATATGCTGTGTGTGGTGCCTCATGCCTGTAATCCCAGCATTTTGGGAGGCCGAGGCAGGTGGATTACCTGAGCTTAGGAGTTCAAGACCAGCCTGGGCCACACAGTGAAACCCCATCTCTATACTAAAATATAAAAAATTAACCAGGCATGGTGGTGTGCACCTATAGTCCCAGCTACTCAGGAAGCCAAGGCAGAATTGCTTGAACCCAGGAGATGGAGGTTGCAGTGAGCCAAGATTATGTCACTGCACTCCAGCTTGGGTGACAGAGTAAGACTCGTCTCAAAAGAACAAAAACAAAAACAGGCCAGGTGCAGTGCTTCACGCCTGTAATCCAAGCACTTCGGGAGGTTGAGGCAGGTGGGTCATGAGGTCAGGAGGTCAAGACCATCCTGGCCAACATGGTGAAACCCTGTCTCTACTAAAAATAGAAAAATTATCTGAGCATGGTGGCGCATGCCTGTAATCCCAGCTACTTGGGAGGCTGAGGCAGGAGAATCGCTGGAACCAGGGAATTGGAGGTTGCAGTGAACCGAGATCATGCCTCTGCGCTCTAGCCTGGCGACAGCAAGACTCCATCTCAAAACAAAACAAAAACATTTATAATTTCAAGAATAACAACTTAACAACATATTTGTAGAATCTTTATGAAGAAACATTTAAAGCTTTACTAAGACACTTTAAAAAAGATGTAAATAAATGAAGACATACCAAATTCACAAACTGAAACAGTCAACATTATGCCAGTTTTCACTAATATGACCTATAGTCGATACAATCACAATAAAAATTCAAAAAAAATTTTTTGTGTGCTTGTTGACTTAACACACTAATGTAAAATGTGTACGAAATGGCGAAAGGTCAAGTATAGTTAACCTACTTTCTTACTTGATAAAGAATTAGAAAGCAAGATGGGTATGGTGGCTCATGCCTGTAATCCCAGCACTTTGGGAGGCTGAGACAGGTGTATTGCTTGAGCCCAGGAAGTTCAAGACCAGCCAAGGCAACATGGCAAAATCCCATCTCTACCAAAAATACAAAAAGTCAGCCAGCTGTGATGTTTGCACGCTAACTGGGAGGCTAAGGTAGGAGGATTGTTTGAGCCTAGGAGATGGGAGCTGTAGTGAGCCAAGATCATACCACTGCACTCCAGCCTGGGCAACAAAGGAGATTGTTGGAATTAGGCCAGGCACCGTGGCTCACGCCTGTAATCCCAACATTTTGGGAGACCGAGGTCAGGAGATCAAGACCATCCTGGCCAACATGGTGAAACCCTGTCTCTACTAAAATACACACACAAAAAATGAGCTTGGTGTGGTGGCACATGCCTGTAGTCCCGGCTACTCAGGAGGCTGAGGCAGGGGAATCACTTTAACCCAGGAGGTGGTGGTTGCAGTGAGTGGAGATCGTACCACTGCATTTCAGCCTGATGACAGAGTGAGACTCTGTCTCAAAAAAAAAAAAAGAATTATAAAGCCAAAGTAATTAAGATAGAAATAGAATGGCCTAGTAACAGATAAACTGGTCTTTGGAACAGAATAAAATGACAGAAACAGATCCATGAATGCATGGAAATGATGACAACAGTGACTGTGAACAAATGCAGAGAGAACAGTGTTGGCTATACCTGTGGGAAAAAAACAGAGTCCTGTCTTATAAAAGACAAAAATCAATCCCAGCTGCATTAAAGGCTTATATGTAAGACAAAAGTATAAAACTTTAAGAAGAGTATACAAGAGAAGAAAGAATATAATCTTTGGGCAAGAGGAATCTCTGAAACAAGATACGAAGAAACCAAACTTAAAGATTGATAAATTTGATTATATTAAAAGAAAACATGGCTGAGCACAGTGGCTCATGCCTGTAATCCCAGCACTTTGGGAGGCCGAGGTGAGTGGCTCACGAGGTCAAGAGATAGAGACCATCCTGGCCAACATGGTGAAACCCCATCTTTTTAAATACATACATACATACATACATACATACATTTCTGTTCATCAAAAAACACCATGCATGGTGAAACCCCATCTTTAAATAAATAAATACATTTCTGTTCATCAAAAAACACCATGAAGGGTGAAAAGATACAAGATATCTGAAACATATAAAATCAAAAAACAAAAAATAAAAACACATATAATCAAAAAAGGATTAGTATCTACAATAATTTAAAAATTTCTATGGCTGGGCACTGTGGCTCACACTTGTCATCTGAGCACTTTGGGAAGCCAAGGTGGGTGGGTCATTTGAGGTCAGCAGTTGGAGACCAGCCTGGCCAACACAATAAAACCCCGTTTCTACTAAAAATACAAAAAATCAGCCAGGTGTGGTAGCAGGCACCTGTAATTCCAGCTACTCGGGAGGCTGAGGCAGGAGAATCGCCTGAACTCAGGAAGCAGAGTTTCCAAGATTGTGTCACTGCGCTCCAGCCTGGAGAAGAGAGTGGGACTTTGTCTCAAAAAAAAAAAAAAAAAATTTTCTAAAGCCAGGAGTGGTGGCTCATAACTGTAGTACCAGCTACACAGGCTAAGGCAGGAGGATTACTTGAGGCCAGGAGTTTGAGAACAGCCTGGGATAGTGAGACTCTGTCTCTTAAGAAAAGAAAAATTCCAGAAATATAAAAGTGTCTAACAAACCAAGAGAAAAATGGGCAAAAGATTTCAGCAGACGGAGGAGAAATAAGAATGGTTTATAATCATATGAATATGGGCTAGGCACAGTGGCTCATGCCCGTGAACCCAGCAACTCAGGAAGCCAAGGCAGGTAGATCACTTGAGCCCAGGAGTACCAGCCTAGGCAACATGGTGAAACCCCCATCACTACAAAACATACAAAAATTAGCTGGGCATGGTGGCACACACCTCAAGTAGTGCCAGCTACTCAGGAAGCTGAGGTGGGAGGATTGCTTGAACCTGGAAGGTGGAGGTTGCTGTGAGCCGAGATCTCACCACCGTACTCCAGCCCCTGTAACAGAGCAAGAGCCTGTCTCAAAAAGTAATAAATTAAAATACGTAAATATATAAGAAATAAAAATCATTTGAATGTTCAGTCTCTTTACAAATAAGACAAATGTGAACTCAAGACACAAAAAGAAACCACTACTCACCTGCCAGATTTATAAGTGTTAGAAAGCCAGACAATAATCAAATTGGGATCTTCCAAATTTCATAATTTCTTACCTTATAATAGGCCTTTGCATTGTTAAAAAGGAGCTGGAAGTCAGCAGTCAGCAAATTAACATCATCATACTCTTCCATTTTTAGTTTCTGCTGGATTTTCATCAAATCAATGGGCTGAGAAACCACTTCGTAATAGTCTGGTTGATTTCTGTTACAATTTAGATTTTTTAAAGAGATATTAATCTGAAGCTTACAAGAAGTTGTCTTTCAAAGCTATTATGATAATGTTCAACATTCCAAGTGACAGAGCATATTAGAATCTTTCATGGATTTTGGAGCTTACTTTAAAAAAAAATCTGCCAACAAACTCACATTATTGGAACTAAGAGAGAGTAACAAAAGCAAGATGCATATGCATTCCCTTTTCAAAACATATGTTAACAACATAAAAACCTAAATTAACATCTGTGATGGTCTTTTAGGTGTTAAATATTTAATGTTTATAGCACCAATGCTAAACCTATGTTGACGGTATCTTTTATAAATGAAGATGACTCAACTTTCATAGTGCTCAAAAGTGTGAAAATAGAGACACGTTTCAACTCTCTTTATAAACTTACAAAATGGATTCTTTCTTCAGTAAGTGAGGGACCACATACATTTTTTTCTATCAAGTTCTATCAAATGCCTATTACAAATGCTGCTTTAATAGCAATTACTATAATTACAAAGGAGGAAGATGATCCCTTGGCTTGAGTAGCCTGCCAAAGATGAACAGATTTAAGAGACATCTAAATACAACCAAACTCTTGGGGAAAAAAAAAAAAAGCATGGGACTAAGAAACACAAAATTTAGCTTCACAGTTATACCTTGCAGGAGGCAGTAGTAAGGAACACACAAGAAACTTTGAAGGTAATCATAATGACACAATTTCTTAAAATAATTTTTTCTTAAATTTCTTAAGTAATTTTAATGACAATTTCTTAAGTTCCCAAAATAACTTCTTGGGTTTAGGGTTCATGGATATTTATTATTTTTTCTGGCTTTTTTCAAATGAAGTTACAGGAGATAAGTAAGCCTTCTAAAAACCGATGTGAGTGACTATTTTCTCAATTCTCCCACAGGGGTAAGTATTCAGCCCCATTCTAGATGTGTAAGGGATAAGTTGTTACAAATAATATCATGGTGATTAAGGCTTAAATCTCTCTTGGCACCTTAGCTGACAGGTTATAGTCATTCTTTTATTATACATACTTAAGTTATTTTTTACTTTTCATTCTGACATAAAAGTTGTAAAAATAGTACTTTTTTTCTGAACCATCTGAATAAGCTCTGACATGATGCCCCATCATTCTTGATCATTTAATGTTTGTTTCCTACAAACAAGGACCACAACTCAACCATCAAAATCAGGAAATAAATGTTAATACAGTACCGTTGACCACTGAACTGTGCAGGTCCACTTATATGCGAACTTTTTTCAACCAAAAAAAATTCGGAGAGAATCTTGAGAAATCAGAGAAAAAGCAGAAAGAATACTGATGTTGTCAGTGGTATCAAGGGACTTTCTTGGTTTTGGTTTTTTTTTTTTGAGACAGGGTTTCACCATGTTGCCCAGACTGCTCTCGAACTCCTGAGCCAAGTACAGCTATCAGCCTGCCTCAGCCTCCCAAAGTGCTAGGATTACAGGCATGAGCCACTGTGCCCGGCCGCAGGGGACTTTCTCACAGCAAACATTAGGGCTTTGATAACTTAATATCCAAAATGATCCTTTGCATGTGGGCCTACTCTCCTTGCTGATGCAGGACCTCAGCAGTGTCTCAAGATTAGGGGATTATCTATAGGCATCTGAGAACTCAATGAGGACATGTGCCTAGAAAGAACACTATCCCCCAGAATCACTGCTACTAGATTACTCACATTTTTAAAATTACCACAAATACAAAAGAAATATCAGGATCCCAACCACTCACTCTATATCATATGGTCAAAACAGGGTCCTCTCATTTTAAAATCAAAGAGTTTTACTAATTTTTTCACTGAAATCAAACATATAGAAAACCATCAAAAGTAAAAATCATCCTTATAATCCAGAATAGCACTATTCGTATTTTCATAGACATTCTTCCAGACTTATCTCTAGGCACATGTACACACAAGCCAAATTTAACATAAACAGGATTATACTGTATGTTCTTTCAAAACAACTTTTCTCTTTCAACAACAGGTGAGGGCAGTCTGGCATATGGCTGCAAAACAGCCAAAACGTCAAGTTTTCATCAGAATAGTGAGAAACACTAGCCCTGGTGTGCAGAAGGCCTGCTGGCTACTCCCTACCCCATTCTCCTTTCTTCCCAGGATGATGGCATTCTAAGATGCTGCACGGCTACTACAGACCATATTCTCGGCTGAGCAGAGTGGCTCACACCCGTAATCCCAGCACTTTGGGACGCCGATGCAGACGAATCATGAAGTCAAAAGATTGAGACCACCCTGGCAAACACGGTGAAATCCTGTATCTACTAAAAATACAAAAATTAGCTGGGTGTGGTGGCACGTGCCTGTAGTCCCAGCTACTCGAGGCAGAAGAATTGCTTGAACCCAGAAGGCAGAAGTTGTAGTGAGCCAAGACTGTACCATTGCACTCCAGCCTGGGCAACAGAGCAAGACTCTGTCTCTCAAAAAAAANAAAAAAAAAAAAAAGAAAGAAAGAAAAAAAAAGACCATATTCCCAGCCAGCATAGTGTTGCATGCCCGTAGTCCCAGCTACTTGGGAGTCTGAGGGAGGACTGCTTGAGTCCAGGAGGTCAAGGCTGTAGTGTGCAATGATGGTGCCTGTGAGCAGCCTGCATTCCAGCCTGTGTGACATGGTGAAGCCTCATCTCCAAGGAAAAAACAACAACAACAAAAACAAAAACCCTTAAAGACCATATTCTCCAGCGTAACTGAAGCTAGCCAACACAAGAGCTGACGTATGTCATATCCAAGTCATGTCCTTAACACTCCTTCTTTTTCCATACTGGCTGGAAGGTAGTTGTGGTAGTGAGGCATCTCAGACCAGGCAGACAAGAGTGATACCACAAAGATAGTAGAATGGAGTTAGCTAATACTTAGACCTTGACAACTTCACAGGTCAGGACTTTTACACAAGAGAAAGAAATTTCTCTTTTGGTTCAGCCATTGTTGATTTCGTTGCCCTACTACAAAGTAGCCAAATACAGTAACTAAAATGAAGTATCAAAAAGGGATTCACAAATTGTGTAGCTCTGAGCACTACTACTTCTTATAAATACTTGAGAAAAAATATACACTCCACATAGGAGTGTCAGAGAAAGGCACCATTATCTTTGAGATTGTTACATGAAAGTAGTCCAGCATGCAAGGTCTGTATGTATCCTCTGCTACTCAGCACTAACCTGCCAGTGAAAAGGTGGCAGCAAAGGCATGGTATCTTCTGTAAAAGGTTTTGTATACTTCAGTATGATGCTGTTACTCTATAACACACAACGGTTAAGAGCACAGGCTTTGGAGTCAGAACAACTTTAGTCTAAACACCAGCTATCTTAGTAGTTACAAGAACTTGTGCAAGTTCTCACCAATAAACTGTGATAGCTCAGAATTTTAAATAAGATATAATCTAAAAAATGCTTGGTTATTGTGTCTAGAATGTGGCAGACAATAAATACATGCTCTTACTACTTTATGCTAATTAAATAACAACTTTGAGAAGATTATTACTGATAAACCAACTCAAATAGGGAGACAGATACCTCATTTTAAAAACAACTTTCTTTTCGACCATGGCTAATTTATAGGGCTTTACTAATTCAGGATGGTGACACTGCACTCTCAGTGGCTCTGCTCGTTGAGGTGAGAAATTTGCCTTCAGTTCAACTTAGAGCTTGGTAGCTACCCACTGTACTATCAACAATCATGAATGAATCTAAATCTTTAGTTAACTCACTGTATTAGCATTCGAGAGCTGCTGTAACAAATTACTACAAACTTAGGGGCTTAAAACAAAACACATTTATTATATTCATTCTAGAGGTCAGAAGTCCAAAACAGGTCTCACTGGTCTAAAATCAAGGTATTAGCAGGGCTGCATGCCTTCTGGAGGTTCTAGTAGAGAGAATCTATTTAAAAAGGTTTCCTTGCCTTTTTCAGCTTCTAGAGCTCACCTGCATTCCTTGGCTTGTAGTCTCCTTCCTCTATCTTCAAAGCTAGCAGTATAGCATCTTCAAATCTCTCTCTGACTGAATTTGTCTCCCTCTTCCCCATTTAAGGACCCACATGGATAATCCAGGATAACCTCTCCAATTCAAGATCAGCTGATTAGCAAACTTAATTCCCCTCTGCCACGTAACACAACATATTTACAGGTTCCAGAGATTAGAATGTGGAAGTATTTGGGGACCAGTTTTCTGCCTAACACATTCATGCATGTTTTCAGAACAAATAACTTCAATTGCCAGAGTTCTTTTTTTTTTTCCTGAGACGGTTTCACTCTTGTTGTAGAGGCTGGAGTGCAATGGCGCAATCCTGGCTCACTGCAACTTCTGCCTCTCGGGTTCAAATGATTCTCCTAACTCAGCCTTCCGAGTAGCTGGGATTGTAGGTGCACAGCCACCATACCCAGCTAATTTTGTATTTTTAATAGAGATGGAGTTTCTCCACATAGTCAGGCTGGTCTCGAACTCCTGACCTCAGGTGATTCGTCTGCCTTGGCCTCCCAAAGTGCTGGGATTACAGGCGTGAGCCACTGCACCCAGCCAACGGCCAGAGTTTTGAACAGAATAGTGATTACATTTTGACAGCAAGAGAGGAAGGATGTTCCAGTTAGTGGTGCAAGGTATGAAAGGCATGTGCAAGATGCCCCTCAGTGTAACTTGAAAAACGGATCCCTTTTAACTATCACTATGAAAACTTCAATTTTGTCTTAAAAGCTATGAATTTTTATTTATTTATTTTGAGATGGAATTTTACTCTTGTTGGCTAGGATGGAGCGCAATGGTGTGATCTCAGCTCACTGCAACCTCTGCCTCCCGGGCTCAAGCGATTGTCCTGCCTTAGCCTCCCAAGTAGCTGGGATTACAGGCGCCTGTCACCATACCCAGCTAATTTTTGTATTTTTAGTAAAGACGAGGATTCCCCATGTTGGCCAGGCTGGTCTCTAACTCCTGACCTCAAGTGATTCGCCAGCCTCA